GTTCAAGTTCGTAGAGTAGAGGGCCTCCCTGATGGTAGCCTCCATCGTTCACCGCCAGGGTGAAGTACTGGGAGCATGCGGTCTCTGCTTGTGGGGTGTCGGAGTGCACACTTGGTCTATGTCCGCCGGAGAGAGGTCAGGCGCTCGGAGCTGGACAGTTCGGAGCTAGTGCCGCGTGGCAAGCAGTCATGAGAGCTCATCGCTGGTGGGGTGCGTCTCTGACCACAAGGGCAGCTCGGAGTATCCCCCACAGACGCACAGACACAGTCACACGCACACACACACACACACACACACACACACACACACACACACACACACACACACACACACCGCTCACCCACGCGCACCGGGCCTTGCACTTTAAATGCCGTGGGGCTCCTGTCGTTAGACGTGGAGATGCGAGGGTTGCCCCTCCTTGCCCCACCACCTCGTGTGTGTGGAGAAATTTACCTTACCTTACCTTACCTTACGTTAGGCCAGAGGCGGTAAGCCGTCGTTGCCCGGCGCTGCTTGCAGCACCATGGCGATGACGCTAAGAGGTTCCTCGGTTTTGACGGAAATCGAACACCGGGGTGCTCCTAGGGCTATAAGGGGCACCACCGACCCGTGGGGGTTCCTCGAAATAAAATAAATGCCGGACCCGGTAGACCAGCAAAATACGCGTTTCTAGTTCGCCCTGTGATCGCACGCCAAAGTGTGTGCACCCATGTACCCGTGTTCCTTTGACACACCACAAAGCTGGCAACATGTCCTCCAGCGCTTGCCATTTCGTGGCTGTGTGCCGGGCGCGCACGTGCGCGTGCAGAACATGCACTGGCGCGGCTCGGGCGCGACTGGGGTGGGCTGCTCCTGCGCCGCCACTCCTAGTGTGGTGGGGACGGGCTGCGGCGCCGGAGGCGACTGCTGCTGTGGCTGCAGCAGCTGCGACTGCGGCAGTGGCGGCGGCAGCGGCGGCGGCTGTGGAGGCTGCGGCGCACCTCCCATTCGGCGCCTACGCGCCGCCTCCACCGCCTCAGCCGCCGACTTGTTCTTGTGACAGAACGCGCACAGGCTCTGCATGTTGTCGAGCCCAGCGCAGCCGCCCCCAAAGCGAACCGCGAGGATGTGGTCCGCCTGATCAAAGTGGAGAGTACTGAAGGAGGCGCCCCGCTTTAGGCTTCAGGGCCGCACGCTCTCACATGCAGAAGCGAGCCCCTCTGTATGCGCATTTTCTCCTTGTGCAGGCGGACGAAGGGGGCTAGCCGCGCGACCTTAAAATCCGGGCTGCTCTTGAAGTAGGAGGTGTAGGCTGCCTTGTAGTCAGCCAGGCTCGCACTCGGCGCGAGGGTGGACTCAACGTGCTTGTTCGCCTTTGAGATGAGCCCCTGGTTGCAGGAGGAGGGTGAGCAGAAGCCGCAGCATGGCGCATGCGCAAGGGCCGAGGACCTGGCTTCCAGCAACCTTGATGTCGCAATTACTGCACTTGTAGCCGCTTTGCTTGAGCGTCCGCGCCCGCAGCGACCGGCCGTTATCGTCGGCGGATCGCAGTTCAAACTCTCTTTGGCAACTGTGGCAAGGGGTTGAGGTCACTCGCTCCCCTCCTCCTCTGCAGCACTTAGCACTCGGCGGGAGCGCACTCTGTGTTGCAGTACAGCTTCTTGGTCTTCAGCAGCGAGCAGCAGTTAGAGCACTCGTCTACGAGGAGGAAGGAAGTTGGTTAGGGGCGACTAGTTGGCGAGGCGGGTGCGGATTTCACATGATCTCGTCTTAACGAGCGTGTCGTCGTACCGCGGAGGCAGCCCTTCTCCGCCGCCTTGCGCGCTAGCGACAGCCCGCTATGGAAGGAACGCATGGTGAGATCGAGGGGCAGGCTGGCAAAGGCAATCGCAAGATGCGACTCCTGTCGGCGCAACTCGCTGGCCCGCTGCGCATGCCGGATGTTGCAGAGGCAATTGACGAGCATGCCGTGCGTTTGGTTTACTCGAACCATCCCGTGGCGCTCATTGATCTCGTCGCGCAGCTCGGCCTCGGTCCACCGCGTCAGCTCGGCAAAGTCCGTGCAACGTTGGGCGCTCATTGCAGGTGCACCTCTCCGCGGCGCGTGAGACAAAGCAGCAAAAAGAATTTAAAGAAAACAACTCTCTCTCACAGCACACAGGCTAGCGCATGTCGCGATGCGCTCCCCGCTCCCGTTCCCCTGTGTCCCTGATCGTCCTACAAGATCCTGCTTGTGCAGGTGGGGACCCTGTCCTTCTCCCACCCCTCGTTTGGCGTGTCCGTTGTATTTATTTATTTATTGCTATGTCCAGACCCAGACGGCGTTGTAGTTGCAGCCGGTGTCTCTGCAGCTGCTGTCGCAGAGCGTGAGCTCCTGCGACCTGCACTCTTGCGCCGCGTCAGCCCACGTGGTCCGACGAAAAGAGCCGGTCCCATATAGGCCGGCAATGCAGTCGCTGTTGCTGGGGCTTGTCCGGCGCCTGCAGACTGCTCCGTCACAGCACTGCGCCGCGATGGGCACACCATCGATCGCCCTAATACTGGGGTCGTGGACGCACCTCTGGGCACCCGACCCACCATGCAGCACGAGAGTGCCCTGGGCGGGAAACACAAGTGGTTGCGCTTGAAGCGCTGGTGGCGGGGGTGAAAGTGCTGTTGGCGTCGGCGGTGACGAAGATTGTGATATTGGCGGTGGTGGCAGCGGCAGCGGCAGCGGGCACGCGAGACTTGTCCAGACCCAGACGGCGTTGTAGTTGCAGCCGGTGTTTCTGCAGCTGCTGTCGCAGAGCGTGAGCTCCCGCGACCTGCACTCTTGCGCCGCGTCAGCCCACGTGGTCCGACGAAAAGAGCCGGTCCCATATAGGCCGGCAATGCAGTCGCTGTTGCTGGGGCTTGTCCGGCGCCTGCAGACTGCTCCGTCACAGCACTGCGCCGCGATGGGCACACCATCGATCGCCCTAATACTGGGGTCGTGGACGCACCTCTGGGCACCCGACCCACCATGCAGCACGAGAGTGCCCTGGCTTGCCATCATCGGCTTCATGTGGACGCCCGCGAGCAGCAAGAACGCGGAGCTGGGCACAACCAGCCAAACGCTTTGCCTCCACAACTAGAATGGCGAGAGTGGCGAGTCGCACAAGCTGTGCCTCGGCCCAGGGGTTCGCAATCGAGCCAACCAGACAAGTGCGCGGCGCGGCGGCAACAAGTAAAACGTACTCGCGTGAGGCTGTGAAAGCACGCCCAACCTAGCGGATACTTGCCCCCGAAGGCAAGTGCGTCTGTTCACAGCTCACGAGAGTAAGTAAAACGAACTTTCGGTCGTAGCGGTACGAGCGACACACTCTCCCATCCCTCCCTTGGGTTGTCTGTTTTCTTCTTTCTTTCTTTTCCGAGCGACACACTCCGCAAGTTTGCGCCAGCGGCTGCGGGGTTGCCGGATTTTGCGGCTTCGCCAGGCTGGGCCGGACCCGGGGCGCAGCCGCCTCGCTGCGTGAATTCCACGTCACACACGCAAGTTATTTTTCTTTTATCACTCACAAAACGCTCCGCCGCACGTCGTCGGCTCGCACGCTACGGCGAAGAAAGTCTTGCATGCAGACGCGTGAGCACCGTGAACTCGGAGGCCGGTGCGGCACCTCCGCAAAGGCTGCACGAACCTGCACGTGTATTAACTGCGGAGACAAGCATCCCGATCCATGAGTATCGGAACCGACGAAGAGCAGTATATCGATCCTGATTGCTGTTACGATGGCATTGGCTGGGGCATCCTCGATTACAATAGGTCACTGGGATGCTGCAGGTCACATGGACCACCAAGAACTGGCACGGGCTGCAGATGCAGCGCTTGTCTGTCGTTCTCCACGCCGCCGTGGCGTGGCAGACGGTGAACGAGCTAGCGTGCGGGGAGAGCGGCATTTGTGCACGGAGCTAAGTGCATTGCCGTTCTTATAACGGAGTCGCTTAGCCGCTAAGGCTTAGGCGGCTCCGGTGGTGTGCCTGTGATAGTGCTAGCACGCGCCAGTTCGCACCTGTTCGAGCCTGTCTGCTGTGAGATAGAGTTGTTGTGAGTGAGTATTCTTGATACGAAACCCAGTGCCACGACGACGCACACACCAGTCGACTCGCATCGGTTGCCTCCATGAACGGCGGAGCTATTCTCGCGTCCACACACACACAAAAACACATAGATTCATGTTTAAATTCTTTTTCTCGCGATGTCTGCCCCGCCGCGGCGCCGCTCGCGCCGCCTCGCCACCGCCTCCTCCGCCGCCGCTCCCTCGCCAGACACGCCGCCGCCCGCCCGCCTCCTCGACCTCCCCACGGACCTCCTCGAGCGTCCGTCTCGAGTCTCCGGCCAGACTCGAGACGGACGCTCGAGGAGATCCGTCTCGCGCCATACACCAGTAGATTTGTTGAGTGGAGATCGTAGATGCCGATCAGAGATCTTCCACACACAGCATCTCTCACAAAACTCAGAAATTTTAACTGAAGATAGAGATCTTGAGCTGCCGCCATCGGCACCTCGAGATCTCAGGCCGGAGACGGAGATGTTGACTTCACGCCAAAGGCGCCTCGAGAACCGTGTGGCCGACTGGAGATTGCAAAATGGCGCGAAAAGAGGGTGGAGATCCGCTTGAAGGTGTGAAAGGAAAAGAGCATCCCCTTGGAAGGACGTCGATCCCCCCCCTGACACGCCTCCCCCACGAGATTGGAGATTGGA